CCTTGCCCTTGTCCCGGCCACCACTAAAGATCGCTCCGACCGCCTCCTCGTCAGAGGCGGGGTTTGTGGCGACGTCGAGCAAGTCATGGGTGGTTTGGGGCTTCAGACAGCCAAGCTTGTGGATTAAGGACTCACAGGTTGTCCCGGAGAGGAACGCGCTGATGACGTCCACATCGACGACATCGAGGAGGGAGTTGCATCGTTTTGAGAACCTATGGATGTAATCCTACAGGGACTCATTGGGCTCCTACCGGTAGCTCTTGAGGTGCTAGGAGTTCCCAGGGCGGACATACGTCCCCTGGAAATTCCCGATGAAGATCCTCTTAAGACCCGCTCAGTCGCAGATGCTGTCAGGTGGGAGGAATTCAAGCCATGCTTGAACATGCTCCCTCATGCAGATGGGGAGGTATTGAATGGTGAAGTGGTCATCATCCACTCCTTTGGCTCGGCAGGCGAGCCAAAAGTCTTCGAGCCATATACCGAGATTCATTTCCCCGATGTATTTGGCGATGTTGGTAGGTGGTCGGAAGCGCTGTGGGAACGACGCTCTCTAGATGCGATGGCCAAAGGCCCATGGTCCTAGGCCATCTGGGCTGGGACTCCAATCGTTTGGTCAGCGACCATGCCTAGGGTTTGTTTCCCCACTCCCCTCGATGGTCTGGTCAGGGCTCGTGCCGCCTGCTCTCACCGCCCCATGATGGACATCATCATCACGCCAGGCTTGACACTGATTAATGATGACACTGCGAGTGTCTCGGTTTGGCCCGAGCCATTCACACATAGGGGGTCGGTGTAGAGCGGGCGCTGGGTCAGGCCATGGTGTAGCTATGGCCTCCTGTTCCACGCTTGATGACTGTAGTGGTGAGCAGATGGAGCGATTTGTCTGGTACGTCCCCATTCCCCTGGTGGGGAGAGAGGTCGCGAGTTGGTGTCACGACGTGGAGCTCTCCACCTATTGAACGGTAGCAGTTTCCACCAGTGCCCGGAGGTTCCGGTGGACCGGCTGCTCCTGGGGGTCGATAGGCTCTAGAAGGCCGCATGGAAGCATCGCCGTAGTGGCGATGTTCTGGCTAGCCCGAGCGAACTGTGGGGGATCGTTCCCTCCGTCCATGATGTTGTGCTGGACCTGGCGGGCACAACCCCGGGCGCCGCTCACCGGGTTACACGCGCATGGCGCAGCGTGCTGCGTCGAGCGCGCCGACGCAGGTGGCAGCTGGCTCTGCTGCCTTTGTCGTAACTCCTCACCGTGCTCCTGTGCGAGCGCAAGGGCCTCCGCATGAGGGTCCATAGAGATGTGAGTCTGTAGAGACTCCACTACCACTGGCGGCTGTCTCAGAGCGTCCGCCATAGCGCGCTCCTAGGATAGAGGGTGGCTAGGTGCCGCGACATCGCCGATGATGGAGCCGTCGCTTTCAACCTCGTCATCCATGAGGTCATGTTAAGAGGCGGGAGCGTAGCCCACCATCCCCATGAATTTGGATGTGAGAGGGGGTGGCGTTAGCATCTTTCGGAGCCCCCATGTGTATGGTTGTATGGCGGTTGCGGTGGGGACAATAGGGTCCCTCCGGAGAGTCAGTGGAAGATATCAAATAGCAAGTAAAGAACAATATGTATGTTACTCACAGTGGGGTTTGAGCCCAGCGTGAGCTCAGAGCAAAGCACAGGTGTCTCGTCGTTGAGGTTGCCGGGTGGCCCAGAGCCGGCGGAGGGCGCTCCTCCTTCGACGGGCGCCGGGACAAGTGCCTCCTCGTGGAGGCGAAGTATGTCGAGTTGGTCGGTGACAAAGTCCAAGCTTCCAAAGAGGAAGGTCTAGAACGGTTCGAAGACGGGAGGAACCCACATCCCAATAGGTGGGAGCATGGGAAACTCCAGCGAGCCAAAGCGAGTCGTATCGCTTGAGCCCGCCATGACGAAGATGGTGGAAAGATGGGCCATCTAATGACCAAAAGCATGAACGTACGTCGTCTTCCCCACGGACGATGCCAACTGTCGGTGCAAAAAGTGACCAACACGTAAATATTTGTAGTTTTGCCGTACGTTGTGATCGGATGTGGCCTAGCACTCAATGACACAGGGTTTATACTAGTTCAAGCAACATGCCCTACATCTAGTTTGAGTCGGTCGGTGACTTTATTCCTAAGCCCAGGTGCTCGAAGTTTACTATGGGGTTACAAACGAGTGGGAATAAGATGGGAGGTATCAGAGGTCCGGTCGGACTCTGTACCGAAGGGCCAAGAGTGATGGGAGTTCCAACGTGCGCTAAGTATTAGAACGTATGCTCTATGTGGCTTTAGAATTCTAGAGCCAAGCAGAGTGAGAGTCGGAGTGAACCGTTTGAATCGATCCGTCGAAATCGGTCCTTCGGAATTGTCCAAATCCTTCTCCTTTGGGAGAGAGCGCATCCCCTTTTATAGATGAAGGGGATGGCCTTATAAGAGAGAGAGAGAGTGAGAGAAAGAGTGTGCGTGCTACCTAGTCTTGTTGCCCACGCCGTCGGGTACAAGACAGTTTGTTGACGCCCACAACACTGTTGACGCACAGATGCATGCGGTAGGCTCCATCGTGTTCTTCTGGTATGGCAAATGTCGGCGCCTACCATACTGTAGGACAAACGTCGGCACCCACAACACTGTTTGTGTTCTAACATGTCTGGAAGGTTGTAGAGTACCCTTCTAACATGGTCTGACAGTACTATCCTGCAGGTATGCAGGGTACGGTCCTCGGTATTGCGGTTGACTTGAGCGCCTTGCCTTATCTGCTCCACCTGATTCTTGGGTTCTCACCGAGCGGACGTCCCCGGTCGGTTGTTCCCAGTCGGCTCCGACCATGCCGGTCGGAGAAGAGATGTAAGTAGAGGTTCGGTGTATTCTCGGTCGGAGACTCGGGTCGGAGTCGGAAGTGAGCGTCGTCTCCTCCTTGGCTAGGCCTTCCGATCAGAGACACGGGCCAGAGTCAGAAGCGAGTGTCGTCCCCTCCTTGGACAGGCCTTCCGGTTGGAGACGCGGGTCGGAGTCAGAAGCGAGCGTCGTCCCCTCCTTGGCCAGGCTTCCGATCGGAGATGCGGGTTGGAGTCGGACGCGAGCGTCGTTCCCTCCTTGGCTAGGCCTTCCGATCGGAGACTTGGATCTCTCTTTTGGCCTATCGTTAGGTATCTAGGCCGGCCCAGGAGTCGCTCGTTGTTGTAATGCCGTCTGTTGGGCCGAGCTTTTGCTGGGAAGCGGGCCCATCGGGGACTCTGGGTTTATGAACCCGACAATTGGTATTATTTAGATTCTGAAATCTAACAATGCATATGAAACTAACAGTGCATACGCCATGATTATGTAGCTGAATTTGATTCTAGAATCTTAGTTGATACAAATATTTAGGAGTGCATCTGGTTTTGTATTGTGTGCTTTCCTGCAGGATGTTGGTTCTAGCCTTGATGCAAGTAACCTATAGTTCTTAACTTTTGTAGGCTAAAAGGAGTGTTCCACGTGAGGCAGTGGATGGCATATTTGAGGCCTGCTTGCCCAAACAAACCGAAACAAAGGCCAGAAAATATTGCTGATATTGACATAGATGGGTGAGGGGACACTGAACCGTGTGGATGTTTGTATCATCTGTTGCTTCATTTCTACGAGTTCCTGTCTATGAGCCTGTTCGCTGGTTAGTTTCTGGGCTGATAAGCCCGACTGGTACTGGTTTGTTCTGAGAGAAAAACACTGTTGGCTGGCTGATAAGCCCTGGCTGAAACCAACAAGCGAACATGGTGCATGGGTGCAATATGATGTACGGTTGCTTCTCTTGGGTAGTATAGATATATAAATAACTTGTACATTCTTTAGCTTTTTTCTTAACCGATGTCCCTAGTTTCTGATGACATGTATCAAATTGGCTGGTCAGGCCCTGGCACTGAATATGAGGGTAGGCTAACAGCTGGAGGCTGTTTACTAATAACTATTCTATCAGCTGCAATAAATTATTTGTGGATGATCAACTTATGCTTAGTGTTGGATGTTTAACATTCAAAAAACATGCCACTCTATTAATCGACTAAACGATCTTGGTAGACTTATTGGCTGTAAAATGTGTAATTTCCTACTATTTAGTGTTCTCCATTGCACATATGGGTTACTATTCCAAGCTACTGGTTAAAGTGTTCGGTAATTATCATCGATGATATTTGGCCATTACGACTTTTAATCTTAAAATGCATAATACATATCTTTGCATTGCCCTGTTTTCTGAAATGAATATTATTTTCTGGTCATGACAGGGCTCGTGAGTTCCGATCATAAAATGCAATGGATCAGTACGTAATATATGGCTGAATAGAACCATAATGGCTACGGTAGCCATGCATGTAATGAAGGATTGTGTCATCTATGGTTGAACAGAACCATAACGGTTGTGATGGCCAGGCAACTCATGTTTGTGAATGCTCTATTTCTGCTAGGTTACTCTTTTGCTGCGAAAATATTATGTTTTGCATCTTAGCCATATCTATCGTTCAAAAATTGTTTTTCTTAAGTCACTGTGGGGCGATGTTCTAGTAACGTATTGACTTTTACATGCTCCGCGCTAGAGCCAAAAAAATTGATAGCGATTCACCTTTTGCCCATTCTCTCATTTCCACGTCAGTCCGAGCCTGCTCCCAGACCTACTCAGGCAGCGACATCGACCGACAACTGTTGGAGACGCCCTAACGGCCTAACCTAGAGGCTGACTGGCTGAGGCACCAACGTGTCGCCTTGGGGCGGGGTCTTTACACCAGCGCTCCCCGTCACCAACCAGTCAACCACACTTCAGACGCTATATTCGTACGACCTTTTTAGAGGGATATGCAAATTCCCAACAAATGGAGGTGTTTATTGTGATCCAACCTTGAATAAATAATGCGGCAGACCAAAGCGCCCCCCCGCCCCCTTCCCCTTTGTGCGAGTCTGCTCTAGGGTTTTTGCCACGCCGCCGCCGCCGCTCTGCCCTCGCATCCCCTCTCACAACACCGATACACCAAGATGACGGCGCAGACTGCGGACGAGCTCGCCACCCAGATGGAGCAGCAGAAGCTCGAGGAGCAGAAGACCGAGGTGAGATTTCGCACACACTCCTCCCGAATGGTCCGAATCAGAAGGGGAATCGGTGTCGCATAGGCTATGGATACTGTGATCCAAAAGAGAATTGATGTTTTATTGCTAGCTGCAGATCCACGAACCTGAAGTAGATTGATTTTGTAGGTGGTTCTTGGTGGATCATGTAAAGCTCCATCTTTTTATATTATTTGTTATTATTATTATTATGGACGGTGAGGAAATGGTTGGTTCTGATAGTTTTGGTCTTTTGCGGATTGTTATTGTTTTTTACGCGGGGTGGCGCGATCCTTTTTATCTCGCTTGCCGTCTTGCAATATGTTTTCGTGGTAATGTTGTCCATCAACTATTCTGATATGTGTGACACCGGCATGCTTATCTGTTGAATGCCATGGACAGGCAGAGGAGGTTGTGGTGGAGGATGAGGAGGATGACGATGAGGACGACGACGACGATGACAAGGATGATGATGAACTCGATGGTGAGTTACTATGATATGAGAATCTCTTTTTAGTGCTATTCAGGTTGATAATATGTGAAATAGTGACGAAAGAAATGTCTTGATATCTTGGAGCTTGTAATGTTTATAATTTGTTGTCACCCTTCACCCGTCTGTCTCATTTCTGTGAAATGATTTGGCACTTCTAATCGTGAACTGCTGTACATAATAGAGCAAGGGGCATGTATAGTTTTGTTTCGGGCACTGTAAATTGATATGTGAATGTGATTTGGAGTGTAAAGCCAAGTTTGTCGTGAGCAGGATTTCCCCATATCTGATGTATCATATTTCTGTGTATTTTTAGCCCTGTTATTGACTTTTGTATCAATGTATGAAGGTCCAGAGTGGATTTTGTTAAGTTTGAGGTTATGCTTAGCTTATGAATGCTTGTAGGTAGTTGATGTTTTTGCTGTTACTGATTATGTCTGCCCTATTGCACTGCCTATATTGTTTTATCTATATCAGCTACATGTCAACCACATCCTTGAAAAAACCACAGATCAACTATGCATAGTCGCATACCATGCATAGACATGTAAACTGAATTGCTTAGTTAGGCAGTCTCACTTGTTGGTGATCAGTGCAGAAGCCTGTGGGCAAACAAATGCTATGGCATTAGTTTTCCTGTTTCCCTGTACCTTTTGAATTTGCTGTCTGTTTTATCTCTGGTGTGTGGAACAATTGCAACACCTGTGTCTGACAAGTACTGGTCACTTTTTCATCTTCAGGACAAGAAGGGGATGCCAGTGGCAAGTCAAAGCAAAGCAGGAGTGAGAAGAAGAGCCGCAAGGCCATGCTGAAGCTTGGCATGAAGTCCATCACTGGTGTCAGCCGTGTCACTGTGAAGAAAAGCAAGAATGTAATTCACCACCATTCACTCAGATCTCGCAAACTGGTGTATCTTTTGTGTCGTCTGGCTAACTATATACTTTTTTCCAGATACTGTTTGTCATCTCCAAGCCAGATGTGTTCAAGAGCCCGAATTCGGACACCTACGTCATATTCGGCGAGGCCAAGATCGAGGACCTCAGCTCCCAGCTGCAGACCCAGGCCGCAGAACAGTTCAAGGCTCCTGACTTGAGCCAGATGATCTCGAGCCCAGAGACATCTGGCCCGGGCCAGGAAGACAACGAGGAGGAGGTCGACGAAACTGGTGTTGAGGCCAAGGACATTGAGCTGGTGATGACCCAGGCGTCTGTTTCGAGGCCCAAGGCTATCAAGGCCCTCAAGGCTTCTAACGGGGACATTGTCACTGCCATTATGGATCTGACAAATTAGAGCGTTGTTTCTGTTGAACCATTTTTCCTTTCGAGTGCTATGCAATGCGACTGGAGTGTTATCTGTGGACCATGTGCTTAGATGATGATGTTACCATGATTGCTTCTTCGGTAAGGTCATTCAAACACGGTTTCATCTTTGCTGGCTTGCTATATGGCAATAGTTTATAGCCCAAGCTGTTTGTCTAAGGCTATGGTATTTCAGAAATGTCACAGTTTTCTATGGCTCTGGTATTTCGGTAACGTCACAGTTCTCTGGCTCTGGTATTTCTGTAATGCCATAGTTTTCTTTTCTTTATACCTCTATTGCTGTGATATGATCACTGTCAGCTCCTCATGTTTAGTATGTCAGAACTGTCAGTCCTCATGTTTTCATTCCTTGAAGTGCTGCTGCTCTTTTGTAGCCCTGGCAAGGCGGCTCCTTTTCGTGTTTGTGCGATTTGCAGTTGCTCTGTTCTGCTAGGGAAATTAAGCAAAAATCCCGCGTTGTGCATGTGTATCTCTTCCTCGAATGCCCTTGATTGAAACAGTGATGGGCAAATACAGATTCCCTGGGTTTGGCGGAGTTAAAGTCTACGGGACTCAGGAGCTCTGGAGTTCGGGGACGGCGCAATCGAAGTCGTCCGAGGGGCAAAGATGAAACAGAGCGGGCACTACTATTTCCAGCGGGACAGAAACTGTGGGTCCTGAGTCCTGGCCTGACTATCAGTGAATCGATTCACGAAGGATATGCATTTTGCAAGCAATTCCTGAGAAAGAGCCCAGAAAGACACTGCACAGTTTCGGCAGCATCCGGATTTGTGTAGGCTCGTAGTTGTACGTAGTCATTTGGTTTGATAAAAACCAATATTACATGTTTTCGATGCCTGGCCCTTGTTGGGTTCAGATCTGTATGCTCCGCGTCTGACCCCAGGCGCAGAGGAAGAGCGAGGACATGGACCTTGACTTGAATCTAACGCTTAGCAAACTAATTTCAACCAGTTATACGTTACTCCCTTTAGTCCTGGAAAAAATACAGTTAACAATTCTACGTAGTTACGGGTAACTATTTTAAGTTTTATCCAAATCTATACAAAACAAGTATTATGATCTAAGATAAATATCGTTTTATTCATCATCGAATATATTTTTTGCATTATGCTGTTGTTGTACTACTACTTGACGTTCTCTCCTTTGTCCAAGGGTTGATATAACAGTAACAGGGCAGGAGCTGGTAAGCTAAAGCCCCTTTGGAATGTAGGATCTTTTTTGTTTTTGCATTTTTTTCTATGAAAAATAAACTGATTCTTACAAAATTTCTATATAACTTCTGTAAAATTCCTACGTCTCAAAGGGACCATAAATGTGTTCTTTTCCACCTGCGTGGTATTTTGCTACTGCTCGCGATCGTTCACCACCCGTGATCTACAGGTACGGAATGTACGACAAAAATGGTTACGGTGGTAGACTGGTAGGCATCCTCGCCTGCAAGACACTGCAAGCCTATGCTGCTCTGATCCCGTCCCCAATCCCATGGGCCATGGCCCATGATTTCCGTCCCGAGCCCAGGAACGCCTGCGCGCCCTGCAGGCCACAGCAAGTCAGCAACCACAACCCCAACTCCAACTGGAAAAATTGGCCGGATAGCAACGTGTTCTGCTCTCGTGGTCACCACTCACCACACCACAGCGCCCCCTGGGATGGGACGACGACGATGCCAGCAAAACGGCGGAAGTTTCGCAGGAATGCGAGGATAAGGACCCGGCAAGGCAACAACGAGCCTCGACGAGTCAGGAGTCAGGACAGGTACACGCCATCGAATCATTCTCATTCGTGCGTCCTCCATCAACTGCCCTGCCCTGCCCCATGGCTGGAAATTCAGGGTTGCCTCACGCCACCACATCAGCACATGCCGGCGAAAGTCCACATGGAGATAAACTCTAGCGAAACCGTGGACACGAAGACGACGGGCCGGTATTTCTAGTCTACTAGTCTGGTATCATTGGGATAAGAATATATAGTGACAGACAAAGAAGTACCAACTGCATTAGACCTGACAAAACAGCTTGCCTTGCCATTGTCATCACCTTCTTCGTATCTGATGATGATAACCATCCAAAGTGATTAGCGTAGTAAACACGCACTGGCAGGTACATAGTATAGTAAAAAAAACACAGAAAATGAGTTCGAGTGATCTCATGAAGGGTTACTCTACACCGGGTCAAGTTCTTCAGTGGTTTTCAAATGCTGGCTGCATGTGTGTGCATCACGGATCAGCTACCAGTTTTCAAACGACACGTCCAACACAGGAGCACATCCACCATTGGGTAAGACAGTCAGAAGGGTCATAATCAACGCATGTTTAACAAAAAAAAAATCAGTGAACTGCAAGTAGCTCAATACAGAAATCGACACAATGCCCAATTTCAATACAAGATCCATACTAATTCCTGCCATTGGCTTAATTTATTGATGTAACCCTGAGTAGGTTGGCATACACAAGGTACCATAGGTCAAAACGAAGCAACAGCTAGCTAAGGGAAGCTAGGTAAACGGTAGCCGGCAGATAAACCAGCCAAAGAGCATTGACTCCAATGTGAGTGTTTTTCCAGTCAATTATGTCCATATATTTATTTTTCTCACAAGACAAATCTTTCGAAAATGAAAGCACACACATGTAGCCAAGTTGTGCTAGAGCTGATGGTAAACGAATGGTCAGGTATCTGGCTTCACTATTATCAGATCACAGTCGTCCATCTTTATCTTTTCTGTAACTGACAGCTTTGTGAATAATTGTACAGCCGCGACAAAAAATCAGCCGAATATGGGCAATCATAACTGTAGCCTCTTCTAAAAAGGAGTTGAACAGCCATTAATTAGGCTTATAATTGTTTGCAAGCTCACAAGTAAACAAAACCGAGTAGCTATGATGATACCATGGTAAAGTAATATACTTGCAATGAGAAACATTATGTGGCGATCATTAACAAACCATACAGTACAGATTGAGTACTAAGATCCCACACATTAAAGCCCATTAGACCAGCGTATTGACTAAAACAGTATTTCAAACCTGAGTAAGGTTACCACAGACTAATCTAGCGAGAACTTGATGAGCGGAAAGGCCACAGGAACGAGAACGGGTTCCTTCTCCTTTGACGGCCATTGGTCCTCCCACTGCTGCTTGAACTACTTGAGCTCTGGCTTTGGTTGGTTGATCTTGTGCGTGAGCAGCTTGGTCCCGTAGTAGAACCCTGTGTTGGGAGCTCATAACGGCAAACAGGGCAGGAATTATGCTGCTCTAACCAAGGAACTATGCAATCGGAGTGGTATAAATGCTTGCATGGCATCTCTCTTGCTTCCGATCCCAACTCGAACTTCTCCTTGCAGACAGGGCAGTGCGAGTCCCCACTGAGATGCCTCTGAGTGATCTTAACTGTGGGCATAGCATCGATCGAGGACTGCGCAGCAGGTGGTGGTCCTCGACGATCGTTCTGAGTCAATTGCTCGATAAGATCATCTAATCCAGGTCCAACAAAGTAGTCTGCAATGTTGGCCCTCCTCATGCCAACACCGCGTCGTCCATTGATGAAAACATCGAATCCATTGTCCTCCGTGAGATGACCAGGGAGCTGACCACGGAAGAGCAGCCATGGCCCTGAACCAAACTCCATCTCCAGGTCTGAAAAGATGTTTGGCCTTCCTCTGACATCAACCTCCCTGTTCATCCCTGCCATACCATGCCGCATCACGGCGGAGATCGCCTCCATGATCCCGAACCTTGGGTCACGATGGAAATCAGGATCCATCCCAACGAAGTGGCTCATGAGAGCATCTACATCATCCATTTCAGCCACAAACCCAGAATCACAGTAGGGACACACCATCTCCCGGCCACGAGGCCTCACCCTCTGTCGGCATTGGTAACACCAGTATGATTGCCTGCCATCTGACATTTCTTCTGGTTAAATGTATCGCCTCCCAACTGCAAAACCTGACAAAATTTCCAAGATCTGAGCACAAAGCTCCACTAGACAGATAATAATCATATAAATTTTGAAACACAACTTACATGATCCAACTAGACCACCCAATACAACTACGTCGATAAGAAACTATGATCAGTATAAAATCTAAAACCGAGAAGACTTAATTGAGTAGCCAAGAATATATATATATATATATATTTTTTTTTAAAAATCCAGATAAGCAGCTATAATAATTCTCTTTGCAGTGAACAGATTATTTCCAAGAAACACATAAAACTATGCGTATTTTCGTGCAGCTGTTCGTAACGAGTCAAGTAAGTAAACTCTTCACATGTCTTACGAGGACCAAGATGTGAACTGGGACGATCGAAATCGTTAAACTTTGCCTCAGACAACAGAAACTACTTAAGCTTTTCTCCAACCCACTTTCCAAACAAATCTCATGCCTTTCTTCCCACTATTATTTTCTTTAATAGGAAGGCAGCGAAAGGAGAGGGGAGAGGTAAAGATGATTCATTCCATACGTGAACAGGTTTCTTCTGATTTTGGCTCGATGAGTTCCTGAAAACAGGTAACAGAGTGGAAAACTCAAAATGGATGAATCCAAGCTTTTTTTTTTTTTTTTTGAAAAGAAACTGCACCCGTCACCCTCCAGTCCCCCATCTCAATTGGGCACCAACAAGTTAGTACCGCGCGAGGGGCGCCTACCGAGATCGTTCGATCGATCTCCCGCGCTGAAGAACAGCACCAAGAAAAACCTAAACCAACCGCGGCCGCAACGACGGGTCGGGTTGGATTCGTGGGGGCACCACCTGGCACACGAACCCCACAAAAACCTCCACAAACCGGAAAGCACGGATTACTAACCAACGGATGAAGAAACCGTCGATCCCTGACCTTAGTCCACCGCCGCCGCCACGAGGAGCGGCGCCCGCGGCAACCACCACCAGACGGGGGTGAGGGGGAGGAGCGGAGACCGCCACGAACAGGGGGTGTGGGGAGCGGAATGATGGAAAGGAAGAAGACACGGGGGCCGCCAGAGACCGCGATTTCGCTTGACTCCGCCCGGGGCCCACACCCCACCCTCAGTGCCGCAGTCGCTGTCCCCCCTCTCTTGGGCCCACACGGCAGCGGCAGGCCGTCCCGGCGGGTAAGCAAGGCATCGATGCGATGCCCCCTCGTGTCCCGAGCCCGGGGGCGCGCGCCCCCTTGCTTTCAGCGAGATGCTTCCGCTAGTGGCCGGGCCGGGAGGTGTGCCGCGCGCCCCGCCGACATGTGGGCCCCGTCCTGGAGCTGAGCCCACCCGTCGGTGGAGGAAGCGGCTCAGTGCCGGATGGAGCTGGAAAGGGTTTGGGGAGGGCCCAGCGCTAAATGTTCCGCAGGCCGCGCGATACGAGGCTGGATCGGCCGTCTGTGGGAAGAACGGACGGACGGATGGGGAGGTCCTGTCACGTGCTGCTGCGTCATTGTGTCGGGACTCGGGAGTGGGTTGTTATTTGGTAGTGTTTAAACGGTAATAATAAAATAAATTATAGAATTACTTGTAACAAGATGAATTTATTAAGTTTAATTAATTTATTATTAGCACATATTTACTATATCATTATATTGTTAAATCATAGACTAATTAGACTTATAAAATTCGTCTAGTAAATTAGTCGTAATATGTGTAATTATTTATTTTTTAATCTATATTTAATACTTCATATATTTGTTCAAATATCCGATGTGATAGAGAGTAACATTTAAGGAGAAACTAAACAAGGCTCAGTTTGTTGGTAAATGCTAGGTGGAACCGTAATCTCGTGGCACAGGACATGCTTCGGGCGCTTCCGTGTGGACCCTTTCACAGTATACTCCTATAAAGGAACCACAATACCCCACTAGTAGTTCATAAATAAATACTCTATCCATCCCAAAATAAATGTGTGATGGTCAATTTTTTAAGTTTAATTAAGTTTATAAAAAAAGATAAGCCAAATTTCAACGAGATGAATAGAGCCAATGAAGCGAACTGATCATAGATAGTTAGTTGGGTTCCTGGTGGTGGAACCTAGCCACCTAGGTTCAAGTTCTCGACTTTGCACAAGTGCTCGTATTTTTCTGGATTTATTTCAGGATTTAACGTCGCTATGTTTTCAGTGGTAGACGACGTCCCATCGACAGCGAGGTGCTGGTGATGACTTTGTGAATTTCAAGATCTGTCGGCTCTGTCCTATGGAGGTGCGTGCGTGTGTTCATAGGGATAAGTGTGCGTACATTGTGGACGTCTATGTTGTATTATGTAATTCTCAAAAAAAAATTGTAGCCATGAAAGACTCTAAAAACATATAGATGGTAACAAAAACCAGAAATACTTCCTTGAGTGTACTCTCTTAAATCTCGTAGAGTATAGATTTATCATATTTAAGTATGCTTTAACAAAAATAGTGGCTGATGTGGCGTAGTGTATATCTAGTGCATAGCAAAAATTACTTTCTCTGTTATTACTTCCTCTATTCTAAATTATAAGATATTTTATTCTAAATTATAATATATTTTAGCTTTTCTAGATTCATAAGTTTTACTATATACTTCCTCTGTCTCAAAATAAGAGTTGTTCTCGGTTCCTAGAGAGTCAAACACTTTTAATTTTGACCAAATATATAAAAAATTATTAATATTTCTTGTCGGTGTAGAAAGTAACCAACACGTAAATATTTATATTTTTGTCGTACGTTGTGATCGGATGTGGTCTTGCACTCAATGACAAATGGTTTATACTAGTTCAGGCAACGTGTCCTACATCCAGTTTGAGTCGGTCGGTGACTTTATTCCTGAGCCCAGGTGCTCGAAGTTTGCAGTGGGGTTACAAATGAGAAGGAGAAAGATGGGGTGTATGAGAGGTCCGGTCGGACTCCGGTCGGAAGGTCCGAGAGCGACAGAAGCTCCGCTATGGACTATCTGTTCAGGCGTGTGTTTGAGGTTCGAACCTGGCGGTTCTGTGGTTGTGGACTAGTGAACTTCGTTGATCTAATAAATCTATAGGGACTGGATTAACTTGAATCAACATGGGCTTACTGAAGAGCACTGAGTTATGTTGGAGGGAATGCATCCCCTTTTATAGATGAAGGGGGTGGCTTTACAAGTGAGAGGGAGAGAGTACATTTGCTTCTAAGCCTTGTTGCCCACGCCGACGGGTATAAGACGATTGTAGGCATCCACAATACTGTTGATGTCACTGTAGAATGTCCGATGCATGTAGGAGGTTGCATCGCCTTCTTCAGGCATGGCAAATGTCGGTACCTGCATATGCTATTGATGCCCAGAGGCACGTGAGGGGTTTCACCATGTTCACTCGGTATGGTAAATCCTGACGCCCACAACACTATCGATGCCCAGAGGCATGTGGGGGTGCCTTACCGTATGGGAGTTAATGACGCCCATAATACTATAGGGAAAAAGTCGGCGCCTACAACACTATTTGTGTCAGGGAGGCTGCAGAGTACTGTTTCTACAGTTGTACGGGGTACGATCCCTGGTGCCGCGGTTTGACTTACGCCATGCTTTACTTTCTCCGGATGTTTCCTGTGACTTACCGAGCGGGTGTCCCCGGTCGGTTGGTCCTAGTCGGTTCTGGTCGTGCTAGTCGGAGAAGAGCAGTGAGTAGAGGATTGGCGTATCTTCGGTCGGAGAGTGAGGGTCAGAGTCGGAAGCGGTGCTTCTGGCCAGGCCTTCCGGTTAGAGAGGCCATCTAGAGGTGGGCTGTAGACCGAAGCGAGCGCTCCGGTCGGAGAGGTGAGCCGAAGTCAGAAAATGGGCGCTGTTCCTCCTCGGCCTGGTCTTCCAGTCGAAGATTGGATCACTCCCCCGGCCTGTCGCTCAGGTATTTGGGCCGGCCCACGAGTTGCGTGCTGTCTGCTTAGGCCGAGCCTTTGTGAGGAAGCTGGTCCGCGAAGGACCCTGGGTTTATGAACCTGACATTTATAGTATATAATTAGATAGATCATTAAATCTCTTTCCATAATTAACTTATTTGAAGATACAAATGTTGCTAATATTTTTAAACTTGAGAAAGTTTGACCGCCATACCATAGCGATACTTATTTTGAGACAGAGGGAGTATTTAGACATATATTATATCTAAAAGCTAAAATAATTTACAATTTAGAATAGAAAGAGCATGTACCTAGAAAAGCTATAACGAAAAATACATGTTATGCTTGATTTTCACTGTTTAATCTCACTGGTGTTATGGTAGGGCAACACCTTTCTATGCATGACATGAATTACACCTCTTCATTGTAACAATGGCATGTACATATAAATGTTATTCCCTTTATTTCAAATTACAAGATAGTTTGGCTGTTCTAGACACGTTGTAGGATCTCTGGTACGTCTAGAGGGGGATGAATAGGCCTGTAAAAATTCAACTCAAACCGAAGTCAAATTCACCCGCGGCACTGCCGCTCTGTGAGCGCGGCACTGCCGCACTCGCAGGAGAGATTAATTCACAGTTCAAAATCTACCCAACGAAATTTAGATATGGTATATTTCTTAGCTTTCTGTAGGATAGTAGATCACAGATCGACAACTGAAAGTGGTGGGAAAACCACACACAAGTAGATCAGCCTCAAACTCTAGAAATTACCTCAACAACAATATGTCAAGCAAGTAATATAAATCAAGCACAAGTGACACAATGATTTATTCCGTGGTTCAACTCGCCACCAAAGCTTGCCTACCTCCACGTTGTTGATGTTAGCTACTAAGGCTTAGAGCTTTCCAGCCCTTCCTCGTTCTCAAGTCAAGAGACTTAACTCTTGAGATGATAGGTGAGTTTACTTGCTTCAAGAGATGGTTACAAACCTCCCGGGGCTGCCACACAAGTTGGCAAGCTCTATAGACAACGCTCTAGTTGGCTAGGAGCCAAGCTCCAAGAATAACAAACACAACCGCCGACTAAAACATGAACTAAGTGCTCTTTA